CTTTGATTCTCATTGCTTCAATTCAAGAAAAGAAGACAATAAATTTGGTTTCTACTTGGAAACCACTTCTGGACTTTGTGCTCGAGGTGGAAAAAATGAAACTTTGATTTTGGGTTCTGCTGATTGGACAAGTTTGTTGTGATAAAAATGGCTAGCATATATAATTATATAGAATAATAAAAGTTGAGGTTTCATTATTCTACTTTATTCTACCTTATTCTACTGCACCAAAGAGTCAGAAGTCAATGCTTTTCCCCCCTTTTCCCCTACATTTTCTCCTCTCCCCCTTTCCCTCCCCTATCATACCTATATTTTCATTTTTTTCTTCATATTTTTATATTTTATGTTTTGATCAAGTAATACAAATTTCTAACCGGCTAATAGAACATAGAATTACAGGGTTGGAAGCGACCTCAGAGGTCACCTAGTCCAGCCCCCTCTGTAGCAATTTTATGGCAACTTGTGAAAAAAACCGGTTCAACGGCAAATAGAATGGGATTATTTTTCTGGCAATAACGAAGAAACTCTCGGATTCTCCTCCTGATGTGTTTCCAATTGTACATACGCAGTTTTCAGGAGGACTCGGAAAGAGCAGGATTTTATGCTGGAATATTGATCACTCAGGTGCAAATGGTCCACCGAATCGGCGTCTAAACATTTGGGCCATCCAGGTTGATAATCTTTATATCTGTAGCCCAAAAAAAGAGGGGGGGCACCAGAAAGGATTGCGGGTTAATGTCAACTCATAAAACATTCCTATGCCTGGTTTAGTAATTGCCATAAAAAAGGGAGAAAGCGAAAGTACATTCCAACTCTTATCTTTAAAAGATTGTAACTAAACTACCCCAGTTTTTGCCCAGGAATATATTGAATTGGAGAACGTAAATGATGACACTCAGCCAGGGGTGGGATTCTACCAGTTCACACCTATTTGCTAGAACTGGTTTTTAACATTCTAAGCAGTTCGGAGAACCGGTTGTTAGAAGAAATTACTGGGCTAATCCTGTAAGGAAGGCTGGAAGGAAACATTCTGGTGTTGCTTACAGAAACTGCCTCTCTGTTAAAGGTATTCTTGGCAGGACTAGACTTCCTGTCTCAGGAACTTCTCTGGAGTTCTTTTCCTTCCTTTGCTGTTATTTTGCTTGTGTGGAGGGACCATTCAAAGTTACAATGGCACTGAAAAAAGTGACATGACCATTTTTCACACTTATGACTGTTGCAGCATCCCCACAGTCATGAGAGGCCAGGCGAGGAGATGCGTGCCTCGATGTGAGTGATATTGAGCTGGCCACACCCACCAAGCCACGCCCACCAACTAAGCCACGCCCACAGAACCATTTTTAAAAAATTTCAATCCCACCCCTGCACTCAGCCCATGAACGTACTCAATTGGAGAATCTGGTTTATGAAACACCCAGTGATTTTCTGCAAAAAAGGTAAATTGTGGTCACCTGGGATGTTGCAAACAATCCTAAATGCAAGCTGATTAGCTGGAAGGCAGTCATGTGACCATGGAGGGGAGAATTCTGGCTAGGGAATTCTGGGAGTTGAAGTCCGCAGCTCTTCAAGTCGCTGAGATTGAGAAAAACCGCTTGCATTTTTAAAATTACTCCTTCATGTTTATTTATAAGGCAGGTAAACTCCCCCCCAGGGAAAACACACCTGTTGGGCTTCACGCTGCTTCTGCAGAAAGCTTGGACTCCAATCCCCATCATCCTTAGCCAGAAACCCCTTTGGGGGGATTGGAAGAGGCAGAAGTAACTAACGAGGGAGTTTTTGCAAACTGGGCAAATTTCTAGCTGTGTTTGAGACTCGTCTGCAAAAATTGGATTTCTTGGATAATTTTTACAGAGGGGGGAAAAAAATCAGGAGTTTAAAAATATTCCCAGGGTGCCTGCAATAATTGTTTGTGTCTGAATGCAGGAAGAAATGTTTTACATTTATGTGTGAAGATTCACATCCTTGTCCATATTTACACCTGGGCCTTAGCATTTCAGATTGGCTGACTCACCTGTAGGTTTCCTGTTTTGCTAGCAGTTCGTACCTGCGATGTTCTGAAAGCAATGGATCGTTTGCATCCAGGCGAGCGATTTTAGCTGCGAAAAGAGAGTGGGGGGAGAATTAGAATTATTTGTAATTCAGTTGCTTGGTTGTCCTTCCTTCTTCCACTTCGAGTGTTTCTTTCGCATTAAAGGAATAATTTGGGACTCTAAAATATAGGCAGTGCTTCATTTAGGGACTGTTTCATTTGTTTAGTGACCATTTGAAGTTTACAATGGCCCTGAAAATGTGACAGGGCTATTTTTTTCACACTTACGACCGTTGCAATATTCCTGGAGGGAGGGGTGTCACAGGATCAAATGCGTGGCAACTGACTCATACTTATGACGGTTTCAGTCTCCCAGGGTCATCTGATCCCCTTTTGCGACCTTCTTACATCTTAAATGAAGACAGATTCACTTAACAACCTTGTTACTAACTTAGCAACTGCAGTGATTCACTTAACAATGGTGCAAGGAAGGTCGTAAAATGGAGCAAAGCTCACTTAGCCAACGGTTCACTTAACCACATAAATTTGGGGCTCTGTTGTGGTCATAAATCAAGGATTACCTGTAATTGGAACCCAGATTTGGGGTAGTTGCACACCTCTTAAAACTTCCCCAATCGTTTTACGCTTTTGTATAGCTTCTTCATCATCTTCTTTTATCATCTTCATCGTCTTCTTTTAACGACCCCATAATCCCCTTGTAGGGTGGAGTCTGGGCAACTGAATGGAGCTGAGTGTTTTACTGGCCGGATGCCCTTCCCTGTTGCCAGCGTGGAGTTTTGTTCGGCAAATATATTCTCATTGTGCCCAGAGAGAAATATCTGCCTCTACCTAGGATCGAACTCACAGCCTCCTGATTGTGAGACAAGAGTTCCACCTCTAGGCCCCCACAACTCTCCATTTGAATAGCTGCCACTGAAGGCAGGAATTCCACCGGAAAAGCTTTCTGGCTTTCTCAGAAAAAGCTTTTGAGTCAATGGGCTGTCATATTTCTTAGGTTAAATTCATTTTATTTAAAATTGGGTTGGGATCTGACAGCTGTCGGGAGTTCCAACAATGAAACCAGTGGGTGGGTGGATAAATTGAATAAATCAAGTAATAAATTTGTCCCACAGAGAGACAAAATTATATCTGTAGATTCCTGCCTGTTGAGTTGCAGGAGCCGGAGGCAATACAAGGATACTTAAGCAAACTTAAATTTTTCTAGGTCAGCACAAACTCCAGAAGTTCCAGTTTTTACACTTCCTAATAAATCATCCCTGAATTTTGTAACTATTTTTACCTACTAGGAAAGTGTGTCAAACAGAATGTGGCAATAGTGTAAAGCGGCTGAACTATGGCTGGACTGTTCATTATAAAGCTCTGTTTTTTAAAAACTTGGCAACTTGAAACTGTGTGGACTTCAACTCCCAGAATTCTCCAGTCAGCAAGCTGAACTCTGGGAGTTGAAGTTTACCAGCCAAGATTGAGAAAAACTGATCTATTGAGTCATATTCAGTTCCTTGTTGAATATTGACTGAAGGTTTTGTAGACCTCACTCTATTGTGATATTTCTCAAGCTTGGCAAAAAAATGGAAGTCCACCCATCTTCAAGCTGGACTTCTTCTGAACTTCCATCTTCAGTTCTGAGAATTGAAGTCCACCAATCCTCAAGCTAAAGTTAGTTTTGGGAATTGAAGTTCACCTATCTTCAGTTCTAGGAGCTGAAGACTGCCCATCTTCAAGGTGAAGTCCTCTCATCTTCAATTATGGGAACTGAAATCCACCTTCTTCAAGGTGAAGTCC